CGGTTACTTGCAAAGCTGAGGTGGAAGGATCGCCGGAGCCCAGCAGGTCGAGGCTGCGGTAGCCGGGAGCGGCCACTGCACTCCAGTCTGGGCGACAGAGTGAGAATCCAACTCAAAAACAAACAAACAAACAAAAAACAAGGTAAAGTCCTATCCCAGGTGAAAATAAAAAGTTCATTAGTGGTCTCTTTAGCCCAGGAACAAATCAAGGTTAAGTCACTGCCCCCAAACTCCTGGAGTGTGTTGGCCAGGGGCCTGCCCAACCCCAGAAGCTCCCCGTGCTCGCAGCAGGGTGGGCTTGGGCCCCGGCTACGTTCTCCCCTCTGGACCTGAAGCCACTGACCGACTTGACGGCCGCTTCCTGCTCGTCCACCGCCAGGGCCCAAGAGTCGGTGGCCATGGTCCCGGAGAAGGTTGGTCGACTTGCGAAAAACGCGCCGCACCGCGCGCCGACACCACCCCAAGCCCGCCACCGGCGCGAAGACCACTCACGCGAGCCGGAAGTAACGATGCTCGCGAGTGACGTCAGTTCCCGTCCGGTATGCGACGTCATCATCCCGCGCATCCCCCCGTCGTTTGTTGTCATTCCTCGCTCGTTTGGCTCCGTTTTTCCCACGTGGAGCCTCATCATGCCTTAAGATCCCTAAGCTTTACTAAGTGAAACTGTTAGCCTCACTTCATTGCCTTACTTGACACTGAAATAACCCAAATTTTGTTTTTTAGAGACAAGGTGTCACTCATGGCTCTGGCTTAAGGCTCCTCTGCCTCAGTCTCCTGAGTAGCTGAGACTAGAGTCAAGCGCCACTGCACGTCTGATTTAAAAAAAAAATTTTTTTGTAGCGACAGAGTCGGGCTATGTTGCTCATGCTGGCCCAAGTTTATTTTTAAAGCTGCTACATTAAATGTGTAAGTCTGTAAACTAGAGCATTACAGAAAGGAAATTTCCATAATAATACTATATGATGCCAGTTTCTATCACGAGGAACGCAATAACGTTTAAGAAAACAAAACCCTGAGCCGGGCTCGGTGGCTCAGCCTGTAATCCCGCGCCTTTGGGAGGCTGAGGTGAGTGGATTGCCTGAGCCCGCGGGTTCGAGACCCGCCTGGGCAATTTAGCGAGCCCTCATCTCTACAATAAATCAAAAAATCAGCCGGGCGTGGTAGCGCACGCCTGTAGTTCCGGCTACTTGGAAGGCGGAGGCGGAAGGATCGCCGGAGCCCAGCAGGTCGAGGCTCCCGGCCACCGCACTCCAATCTGGGCGACAGAGTGAGACTCCAACTCAAAAAA